GGATACATCAGAAGGTGTAAGATACAGGTGAGGGGGCAGGAATAACAATATTTAATATAATAACAAGGGTCCTTTGTGGGTGGGGGAGGAAGGCAAGGCTAAAGGGCAGCTGATACCAAAGAGTGCAAGAAAGTTTTGAAAATGATGGTGGCAACAATTGTTCAATAACGCATGATCTAATTGAATTATGGATTATTATAATATCTGTAAGAGTCCTCAATAAAATGGAAAAAATAAATCTTTATAAGAACAATTTCATGGAGCTGCTGGGTTTCAACTACCCAATCCTAGGGTTAGCAGGCCAATGCCACCTGACAATGCCCTACCCGCCAGACACATTTTCATGCATGGTATATGAATGTTCGGAGCATACTTCTTTGCAGTGCAGTCAAAAAGTTGAAGCAATTCCACCATCTGTAGCAACTAAATAAAGCGTGGTCTATTCATCCACACAGTGGAATTCAACAGGGCAGCGGTTCCCAAAGAATGGCTCTGGGTTTTCCAGGGAGCCTGTTGCCCAGTCTCTTAGGCCCAAACTGTATTACTACTACTAAGCTGTTGTGATTGTTGTTAGGTACCATCCAATCGGTTCCAACCCAGTGACCCCGGGCACAATGGAACAAAACAGTGCCTGGTGCTGCGCCACCCTCACCATTCCATTGTTTCTATGCCTGAGCCCAAGGTTGTAGCTACTGTGCCCAGCCATCTCTTTGGGGCCTCCCTCTTTTTCGTCTGTAGCTGGCTTTTTTCAACCCTTGTTCTTTCATGAGCATACGGTGGTGTGCCTATCAGTTTCCACAGGTGTGAGGATGCCATCCCGCCAATGACTAACGGGGCAATAATGACTTATTGCGCTTTCACAACTTCTCACCTTGAATCTCTAAAAATGGTAAACATGTAGTCCACACAGATGCACAGCTCTTTGGGGTCCTAGTATTTTTGCTTGTTGAGGGGGGCGGACGCTTACACAGCAAACTCGGTTCGCGCCTGTTACTTTCTACTTTTCACCATGCTACAGCCTTCTTTTAAATGGCATTCTGGTTGTTCCATTTCCAGCACGCTCGTTGCCCTCCGCCTGAGAGTAGCCCAGGGTTTGTCAAGGTGCACCGCACTCACAGGGCCCTGCGGGAGCGGAGGAACGGCTCCGGAAGGGGGAAGAGTGAGGCGGGATGGCGGATGAGCACTGAGCGCCCGTGGTGCACGCTTCAGCTCCAGCAGCTGCTGGCTGCCCCCTCCCGGGTTCCCACGTGCTCACCGCGCAATCGGACAGCGGCCATCCCAGCCCCATCCCAGCCGCGCCGCCTCACCCTGCGTCCCGACTGGACGCTCTTGTCTGAAGCTGCGCCGCTCCCCGGCCTGCCTGGGGATCTTTGGCTGTCGCTCTCGCTCTGCCCTGCACAACGCTGCCTCTTTTCATCCTTCCCAAACGCAAACGTCGCCCACAAGAGGAGGACACGCGGCCACTTGGCCACTCCACCAGAGACCGATAGAGTGGCTGCCACCAAGGGGCTCAACCACCGCGCGGGCCGGGCAGCTCTGGTCCTGTGGGCACAGGGTCGCTGAGTCCGAAGGGACTCGTCAGTGCCTACTTAGCACAATGTGAAGCGTCCCGTTGGTCCAGCTGCCCCTACCCACTTTTTGCGGACAAGAACTTGCTCGCCACTCCGACGGGGCTCAAAGCTCGGGGGGAAGTGGAACGGGAAGATGATGGCATCCCCCCACAACTTCTTTGAAGCCTCCTCGTCTAGCTGCAGGACCTGGGAAAGCGTCTGACAGAGTAAAACAAACAAACAAACAATGGGGCCGTTTCTGAAGCTGTCGATCTTGGCAGCAGGAAGGTTTGAACTGCCCACCTGGCGGTTAGCAGGGCTCCGCTTACCAGCCAGGTGAAGAGAAGTGAAAGGAGGCGTGCTCTTAATCTGCACGTTGAGGATGAGGCTCAGAAACGTGACTGAGACTGGAAGTAAATCAGAATCCCAGGACAGCCGAGTGGGAAGGAAGCTCGGCGAAGACGGGGTGCAGCCCACAGGGACCCCAGTCCCTTTCCTCCTGACACCCAGGCTTCTCACTCTCGCCCTAAGCAACCGCGGGCAGCCCGCCCCTGGCCAGGCAGCTCCCTTACTAGGTGGGGATGAGAAGGCATTTGAGGAGAGTCACTCCCAGCGCCAAAGCCGAAAACCAGTGGCCGCCACCAGTTGCCACGCGCAGCGCCGCCATAGCTGGAATCCCGCAAATTCAACTAACACGACTCACTTCCGGGTTGTCTTGCATGCGCAGAAGGGGGTTCCCGGGACGGTGCCGCGAGCAGCGCGCATGCGCCCAGCCGATCAGCCAGCTGGAGGAAAGCGCTCGGCTCTTTCAATCTCCCGCCCACCGTCTTTTCTTGGCTCCGCCTCGTTCTCCAGTTTAGGAGGATACCGTTGCGCCTGCGCGGCTTGCTTGCAGGTCGCAGACTGGATTTCATTAGCTAGTTCACTTTTAGTGAAGTACTTACTGAAAGCACTCACTCGTCTGTACCAGAAAATTTGGACGACAGCTACTTGGCCAAATGACTGGAAGAGATCCAGATCTGTGCACATTTCAAAGAAAGGTGACTCAACAGTTTGCTCAAATTATAAAACAATATCATTGATAGCTACAGGCCAGCAACATTTTGCAACAACGATTGCAGCAGTACACTAACAGGGAACTGCTTGAGGTTCAGGCCAGATTCAGAAAAAGTGTGGAACAAGGGATATCATTGCT